ACTCATGCATTACTCTCGCTGGTCGCAGATCTCTGTACCCCTTTTTCTCCCTCCCTTGTTTACTAATCATTGAATTAACTTAACCCCCCCAAAAAAACTGCTGTAACACAATTTGTGCACCAGGGTTGTGTGCATTCAGCTGATTACATTAGCATCACAGTGACAAAAATCAGTTTCTGTCAGCTCAGAGCTTTGTGCAGCTTGAAATGAAGCTGTTAGCTGGATAAAAGGCAGGTTGTAGTTATCAGTATCTGGACTGTGGCTAATGATAAAAATAAGTAAGGAGAGAATTGGGTATTAGTGGAGTGACCACATCATATTGCTTATTAAGCTGTGTTTGTGTGAAAAAAATCTTAACTGCAAAGTCTTTTCCCTCAGCTTCATTCTGGTCAATGTTTGCCAATCATTGTCCATATGCAAACCTTCGTTTCACGTTTCGTACAGTTCATCCTCTCCTCTCCTCCTGGACCCATTAAGGCTTAATTGGAGCCAAGCTACTTACCACTGATGGGATCAATGAGAGAAGCCATCGTGGCTACGCACCGTTTTCATTACTCACTGCAGCTCAATACTCGAGCAGCCGCTGCAGCAATCAGTTAGTCCGGCAGTAATAAGAACGGCTACAGGATCTGTCAGATAGAGCACTTGTGCGAAATGGCAATGAAGTAAAGCTGAAACGTATTTCATAAAGTGGAAGCCTGGATGGCGATGTGTTGGGGATCATGTGCGTATTCAAATATAAAACTGATAATAGCTTTAAAGTATTCAGTGTCTTSATTGAGGCAGTGAGCTGCTTCAAAAATTAGACAGAATACTTATTTACTTCATGGGCTTAACTTTATTTTAAACAAACCGATAAATTGATTTTCTTTGATTTTCCTAAAAATAATCTTCTGTCAAAATTAGTCCTACCTCTCTGTTTTTCTTTTTATTTCTATTCTGATTTCATCCTTGCTTTTTACCCACAAAATAGTTTTTTTTACCAATACATTACWGTAAAACCAATAATTTTCTAATGTTTTAATATTTATTTTGTCACCTGCTTTGCCTTTGCAACTGTTGTTTGCCACTAATACAGACAACTGATGTCTCACAGATAAGAAATGGTTATGATGAATTAAATTTTAAGTTAACAGTATTATGCTACAGAAATGATGTTTCCCATGGCTGATTATCTGCAGTGATACTGTACATGTCTTAAGGTATTGTAGAGAGTACATCCAGACCACAAACAACAGGTGTAATTTCACTGTGCTGTGAATTCAACAGGGGGTGCATCAGACATTATCTATTATCATAATGAGAGTCTTGCAATGACTGACAAAAATATGGTGTTTTTTTAATATGTTAAGAAATGTAGGAATTATTGTCCTATGACTAATGATGCTAATGACTCACTAGCAAAAAGCAAAAATAAAATTTCCAGTTTTGATTTTCTGTGCAGAAACACTGAAGCRCAGTTTATTCTGTCTAAGCTACAGTGGAATAATAATTTAAAAAAAAAACTAATGTACGCAATATGATAACAAGGTTCTTCAGGAAGGAAGAGGAAAAACAAAGTGGAAATCAGCATCTCATAATTAACTTACTGGTGAATTTAAAGGATTTCCTGATTACAGTGCATTCTGTGCGGCTATCAGCATAAAAAGTGTCAATTCATCACAGTCGCACAGATTTTTCTCCTGAAAAACTACATTCTTACCACCAAAGATCTGCTCCTTCACGGCGAAGGGCAAATGCAAGGACATTAACTGGTGGTTTGGAGGCTCTTAGTCCAGCCCATTCCTCATATGAGCTAAGGGTGTCACAGTAAATGTCTGTCCTTCCCGTCTATCCCTCCTCCCCTCCTTGTTCTTCGCTCCATCCCAAGTGGAGCACTTAGTTTAATTTGAGTAACGACGGTGAGGGTTTTCCAGGCCGACCCTTTTCCACAGCCCTCATTGAGAAAGCACTAAATGGCCCAAAGAGTTATTGCTAGGAATGACATCATGYCCTCCTTCAGCCAGCTGGCTTTCTTGTTTAAATGTCTTAATATAGTGTTTACTTTGAAACGTAGTTTGTTTCATACTGACCGACTCTGCCTCTTCACCAAAAACCCTACCATAAATGTTTGATTATTAGGGGTAGGCCTAATAAATCATAGTACAAGATGCCAAACATGATATTGCTTCAAACAATTTTAGTGTTTAACCACATTTTTTCCCATATCTATTCATTTAAAAGGTTTGGAGTTTCCTTATCTTGGCTCACGATGTGTGCTTAAAGTAATTAACTTTCTTTCTGAATCACCTTTCAGAGGATGATTCATCAGTATTTGTATCAGAGCCAGCTGGAAGCTAAATTCCAGAGTATCCAATGTTTATTTTGTGAAATGTGCATACATTTTACAACCACTAACCTCCGGGTCTACATGGCCAACAGCAAGCATAGTGACAGATTTGTATCAGTTGTTTACAAACAGGCTCTAATTTACTGTTTGTCCATGTGATTCGCTGACAGTTTGTTTCCTGCTGAGTAAAAACCGGAGAGACATCTTGTCTCGGTAATGATGACAAAGTGGTGGCCATCTTTTCTGCTAATTGCAGTCAGGCAATAACAAATTGGGTCRTCCCGCCATGGACGAAGTGATCTTAAGATCATTTCAGAGTGGAATAAAGTGTAGCAGTGCTACGTTCCAGGATCCACACTGAACACAGATCAGCATCGTATGACCAACAGCTGCAAAGGTCCTGCTCAAGCTTTTCCTCTTTTAAGAGGTTGGTTATAACATTCTGTTACAAACAAAGCTGTTAGAAACACAAAGGACTGTGCAACACTGCTACCCAGTCTAGTTGTTTAGTTGGAGACTTAAGATGAAAAAAAAAAACCCACATGAGTCATGCAGGGTTTATTCAACAACCTTGATATTTTTAGCACCAAGCGCTAATCAGACTTATATATCATTAGCCTCACAGCACAATTGCCCAAGACATATTTGGTCACAAATGACTTAGGCAYATATGCTATGAGGTTAACAAWATGGATTGTGTGGAACTTGTTAGAACATGAATTTCATTATCTATGATTTCTTGCAAACTCTGAATAACCCCTGCAAATGTCCATTAGTCTGCTAACAGGTGAGCAAAGCTAATGGTCAGAGCAGAACATTTTATTGCCAAACAATCTGCAGAAATCGATAACATTGGTGAAAAACTGCTAAGAAATGATGGAAGCGGTTTTAGTTATTGGATATACCGCACCACGGTCTGAGCACTGATTCAACTCAACCATAATTTTCCTGAAYGTCTCGACATCTACTGGAGGAAAGACCTTGACCTAGTCTAGACCAGTGTTTCCCAAAGTTGGGGTCGGGACCCAAAGTGGGGTCYCGAAACATCAAGGTGGGGTCCTGAAAAGATTTTATGAATTAATTACATTTTTGTCTTAGTTGTTACAAATGAGAGAGGTTAGTATATTTAAAAGGGATAAATGTAGTTTAAAAAATATTGTTACTATGCCCATGTTTAGTTGACCTGATACAAATGTTTATCATCCAAAAATAGCTGGGGGCACAGGTCTCTGCTGCTGTTATTTTGTGGGTCAAAAGCTGAAAGGTTTTGGAAACCACTGCACTTTGGTTCCCAAAGTTGGGCTTGGGACCCAATTATGGGTCATGAAGCACTTTGGATAATCTCCAGAAACCAATTTAAAGGGTAATAAAATAATTGCTGATGTAATATTTTCCCTATAATTTTTACACAAACACAAAATAAGTATTTACAGATTGTCAAAAAGCCTGTGTTTTTAGGGTTATTAACAAAGTTCATGTACTCAGACCAGTGATATTTGGGGTCACAAGTTTTTGCCATGAATATTTTGTGGGTCAGAAGRTAAAAAGTTTGGGAACCACTGGTCTACACAACCCTTTGAAGAAATGAAGGAATTCTCCTTCAAACCAGCAAATGGTTCGTTCTATGGGCCACAAACGATCGTTAAAACGCAGGGAACATAGACATGCCCTGTTTCTTGACACTGCTACTTGAATCCATCTGTGGCTAATACGGGGCTTGAACCTGTGACCTTATTAGCATCGTGCTCTAACCAGCTGAACTAACTAACCCTCTGGTGCAAAAGTGAGTAAATTTAATTGCCCCCTAGCAAACACCCTAAGACTGTTTGGTGCATATCACCTACAGCCCTRTCGAGTCTCCAGTCAAGTCCAAGTTTTCTCAAAACAGTAGCTACACTGAGCTGCTCACAGACAGTAAGARCCCTGTCCCCTACAGCTTATTCAAATAAATCTGATTTGTTCTTAGAAATRGGGGGTCCAGAAAACTTGGCCTATTTTTCACTTGTCTCAAATTAACRCCCTTATACACCAGCTATTTTCAGTTTTATGTTGCAGAATAATCTAACCTCGCTCAAGTTTTACAAAACAATTGTGTTGCTTTACAACTTTAAAGTTTAGAGACTGAGATCTGACAGTTGTGGTGAAAAAGCCAAGCCGAAGGAGCCGAGATCAAATTTTAAATATCCATCACTTGGGAACATTTAGATTTTGCAATGGGAGGCAGAGTTTAATGCTGTGAGGGAAAAACAGAAAAAAGAAAAATGAATTTGTGTTTATGTGAGTAAATACAAAGAGTGACAGCCCTGACAGGTTTGGCAGTCATACAGTTCTGAGGTGGGCAGTTTGATTGATACTTCTGAGCAGGAGGCAACCCTGAGATTAAACACAGTTACTGCACACACACACACACACACACATACACACACACACACACACACACACACACATACACACACAAGCATCATTGCCTGAGAAGACAGTACAATGATTTATATTCATTACCTCTTAAAATTAACCATACTCACACTTATTCCATTAATGTCAAATATCAAAATATCCCGCCCCCTCACAAATATAAGTGCATCAGTAATAACGCACATACACAAACACATATTTGCAAACACATAATATAATCTCTATAATTTACAACAGAAAAGGACCAAACCAGTGCTGCACTGATTTAATAGCATTTATTCAATTGACCTCACATTTACAACTAAACTCTTGTTTTTGTAGACACTGCATGAATAAATAAATAGACAAACACTTTCAACTTTGCCTTTAAAAGTAGACTAAGTTCTTCTTATATTTTATATATGTATATACATTTATCACACAAAAATACAGCAATATCTTTTTGCTGACATGGAGCAACAATAAGTCAGCCAAGCAGCTGATGCCGACTCTTCTATACAGGTTTGTACATGACTGACACTGAGCTCACAGGGAGGAATGGTTACATTCACAACAAAGCCAAAAAACAACAACAAAAAACAAAAAACAAAAACCCAATGACTGACAATGACCCAGTGACAGCTGTTTTAACGAGAAATCGACATTTACACAAATCTGATGGGTTGGGTCAAGTTTGAGTGTATTTTAGTGTGATGACTGCACACAAACATGACATTAAGTTCCTCTAATGAGCCATCTCTGGTTGACACACACCACAATGCCAGATGATTTAAAGCAGTGTTTTTTTTTTAAACTTTTCAGCTTTTGAATCACAAAATAAGAACAGGAAGACTATCATGACCCCACTGTTGCTGGGTTAAGTGTACAAACATTACTCAATCCATCAACTTTTATTCACTGTTTTTGCTTCTTTACAGCACTTAAAGACTAAATATGCTATTAACAATGATTAATTTMGACTGTAAACTTCCTCAAGACCACACTCTGGGTGTTTTATTGGGACCCAACCCAAATTCTGGGAATCACTGCCAAATCAAAGGACACAATTGGACAAAGAATCATGTTTTCAGACGAGACTTCTGACTGCTGTGAACAGTGTATGAAGTCAAGTTTAGCAAGCAGTGTACAAAACATCTTTAGATTAACATTAAAGGACAATATGAACAGCTCTCTACTGTTTATTATTCTTAGGAGAGATGATCCACTCAGATCGTAAGCTGCATTCATGACATTAGATGATGGGTGGAAGTCAAAGGAAACTAAAATAGATGTGTTGTAGTGAATGAATTCCACTGATCTAATAAATGATAAACCACCAAACTACAATGCTGAGAAGAGATAAAGTTAAAAGATTTTTGTAAAAAGTGATTAACTATTTGTGTCGTTACCCCAAAAAGTGTATCAGAGGATAAAACTGCAAAATTTGTGACAACATAAGATCACCGTAGTATTTAGGAACTGTTCAACTGATAACAAAAAAAAAAAAAAAAACATTTCCTGTATTTAACACACTCTAACAAACTCTCAGAAACTGTCACTTTGAACATCTGTGCAGCATTAATCAAACGTCCTGAGGGCTCATCCCCAGCAAGCCAGGATCAATAATGACCGGTAATACGAACACTGCCCTGGGAGGAACAATCATTTCTGTTCACCGTGAACCTGACTGTCCGCTCAATACAGCTTTAAGATGGGCAAACGAGYCATCAAACACAGTCACACAAAACCAAAACTCGTGTTTTCAGATTCTCCAGGCAACTTTTACATCATATTCATTCGTAAATTTCTTACGGAACGATTTTCGCATGTGTTTTGTTGCAGCTGATGCTTTGTTGTCTGGCTGTAAATGTGCATAACTTAATGCTTTCCTTCCTTTCATTAAAGGGAAACGAAGTTTGCTAAAAAACATTTTGGAATGCACAGAAATGAATGGAAACCCAATAGCTGCCTGGAAAACAAACAACACAACTTATTTTTAACACTTCAGCTGCACACATTTTAAGGTCCATCCAAGCCTTTTATGCCAAATGTGAGCCTTTTAGGAATAAAAGCTATTTTCTTTTAATTAAAGTGCAAAATTCTTCCTAGCAAAGCATTAGAATCCAAAAAGTGAAGGAAAAAAAAACCACCCAAAAAGAAAAGCAAGACAAAAACAAAGCAGAGTTGGTTGATCCTTTCTCAGTAAAAAGTCAAACACTTTGCTACTGAAATTAATAGTATTCAGACAAATTATATTTGTTTGGCACATTTCAGAGGGTGGTAATATTACATTTGCATTAATTTATCACTGAGTGTGTCAAAAAAAGTTAAACTTCCCTGCTTTTCAAGTTCATACCAATGATAGTAGCCTGCTGCTCCAAGTAATCTATTTCTATAATTATTATTGCTCTATTAATAAATGTTTTTTATGCAAAACTAAAATGTTAAGTCTGACATTCGTTCAAGGACCGTTTGCTTGAAGCCACATAGTTTTTATGCAAACGCTCATGTAGGGGAAAAAGTGCATCCTCTTTCAATTCTAGGCATAATAAAAAAGATCTCCAGGTCCTAAAATAATTTAAAAAAATAACCTCATTTAATCTCAACCTAATAAAGAAGGGCAATATGTTTTTTGTTTTAACATTTGAAGCAGGACTTCAGAACTTGTTACTAAATCTTTTTTTTCTTCCGCCCTGATCCAAAAAGAAACCTAGAATTGACAAAGGAGGGCTTTATTTTTCCATGACTGTATGGATTTACATCAACATACTTATACAGTAATTAGACAAACACGCACACAGTAACATAGTTCTATTGCACTTTTCTTACGATCTACTTTGCATCCTTGCAGACCGTTCCTCTGATCACAGTAGCAGCACTTAAATTAAAATGGTTGTAGATTCACAGAGTCATGGTCAAAAAACACAARCATGAATGTACGTTAGCTGATTGTACGTTAGACATGAAATGAAATTAAAAACAAGAGTGAGGCACCATGTCACCATTGTTGAAACTTGTGGAGTCACTTGAAAGCCACAGAAGATTTCTGCTGATTTTGGCTCACAGTGTGGCAGTAACAAGTTTCCTGAAGAGAGCGGACGCATCTTTGACCCGATCCTTCATTTTCACAGTCTTGGTTTTGAGTTTTCTTTGTGCCTTTATCGTCTAGTTTTCACTGTGAAAAGACTCTGGGCTTGATTCACCGTCGTCACTGAGGACCTCGGTGTTGGTGAAGGTTCCAGCGATCGACCCACCAAGAGCTTGCCTGACGGGAGCCATCTCTGAAAGAATGATGTTATCGTGGTTTCCTACTAGTGTTGCCTTGTCCATGATCTCCTTGCTATGCTTGGACACCACGGCGTCCAGGAAGTCGTACTTGTGTGACAGCATGCCGCTCTCAAATAGGTACTTTGTCAAGTAAGAGAAGACCACATTAGCCAAGAAGGACGCAACCATGGACACAGTTTTGAAGGGGAATCTCTGCTGGACAAAGTACTCTACGTCACCAGTGAGGTGGTGGATCTTCTCTTCTGTCACCCAACCAGGATAAAAAATAAACGGAGGGAGTTTCAGGTATGGTTCTCCTCCACCGATGCGCAGCAAAAGACCAAAGACGTAGCCTGCCACGGAGCCGTATGTGTTGGTGCCTTTGACGAACAACACGCTGAGGAGTTGGGGGAAAATGATGACGTAGACGAGGTCAGAGCTCAGGTACCACAGGCCGTACACCGATCCGGTTAACAACGCCATCGCTGTAGCAAGAGCTCCAAAAACAAAAATGGTGATGCGCATCACCCAAACAATCTCACGATCTGAAGCCTGGAGGAAAAAAGAAGTGGATTACACGATGAACACAAAAGAAGCAGCTCGGGGGAGAAACGTTGACGCTGCCTTCAACTACGTGCTGATAATACTGCATGTCTTACCGACTGCCGGAAAGCGAGTTGATAGATGTTTCTGGCAAACATAGAGCTGGCAGACAGTATGGACGAGTCTGCTGACGACATGACGGCAGCCGACACCGCACCCAGACCAAAGAAGGAGATGTAGGGAGGGCACAGGTGCTGGAGCACTATGGGGAGGATCATGTCTGATTCATCCTTATCCTTCGGAGGGAGGGAACCGTAGGTAGTTTGGTTCCAGTCTGATAAGAAATGAAGTATGAAATTCAATGAGACCATTTTTCAAAATGGCAGAACCRAACAAAAGTTTTCAATCAATCAACCATAATTAAAGCTGAACAAACTCTACTTGTTTAAGTTTTTGGTCAACTTGTATAAATCTCAGTGAACTGAAAGCTGTGTTACAGTTTTTGTACTGATCCCTTTTAGCTGTTAAGACAAAAGYTTTATTTTTTCTGATGTGGCTTCCTGTGGCTATATGGCTTTTAGCTGCAGAGAAACAAAGGAGCTTTGTTTTAATCTGTGGGTGGTAGTACAATAAAAAAATCCAATTCTTTTTTTGGTTAATTAAAAAAATGGGAAAACAAAAGTAATACAAACGTCTAAAATACTTCTTTGACAGACTTCATACCATTTCTCCATGTTCCTACTGTTCCAGAGGTATCATATGTTCCCTGTACTGGAGACTCGTAAGCCACGGCTGATTACTGCTGTTTATGTTGGAAACAACCCACAGAAGAACCAGATTAATTAGCTTCTCTTCAGATGCAATATTCACTAAAACCTGCATGGTCCAATGGCTCTCTTCTCTGGTTATCGTCACAGGACCCATCTGCTGTTTACTCTCTAGATATTTTATGAAACTACTTTTATATGTCTGAAAAAAAATAGAAAATAAAGCTTCTGGGATGTAAACAAGCAAAAAAGGCRTCAGGCTGCCTTTGATCACATTTTCCAGTTTAAATAAATGATCAAATTCCTGGATGTTTTGATTGGTTTTTTGATGTTTCATTAACTTTATAAATGTCTGTGAGTTGATACTTTGTTCATCGATTTGATTGAAGAGAACTCAGGCAGATTTAAAGTCACACAAAGYCCCCATGTCACGTCACATTTAACTGTCTTTTTTTCATTTAAATGTGTTACAATGTGTTTGYATTTACCAGTGGAAGCTCCAATGGCTCCAATCAGGACCGAAGGGACGGCCATGACCAAGCAGCCAAAGGCGGCCAGGAAAGAGAGCACCTGAGCGTAGGTAGCTGAAGAGGCAGAAAGAACCCGTTGAAAATAGACCTGCCAGGGAATCCCCCCCAACATCTAGAAACAGAAACATCAAAGTAAATACAACCTCTAAACCAGCTCACTCAGTAATCTAAAAGGACAGGTCTTGCACTGAAATCACAATGTTGCTTTTTTTTATAAGAAAATTAAGCTTACCAGCAAAAAGAAGTTGTCTGCCCAGAGCCATTTGTCGTTAGAATCAATCTTGCCCAGCCAGGGTGACTGATAGATTACTTCCTTGGCTGAAACGCTGATGTCTGACACAGCAGGGTTGGAAAGGGCGAAGGGCACACTGATCCACTGGTGAAGAGGGAAAAACATCATCGTAAGTATGTCCAGAAACCACTCACATTTCTGCTTCAAAATGCTTCATAATTTGTCAGCTTTTGACAACAAGATTTCACTTGAATTACGTCTACGCACCAAGCCCACAAATATGCAGAACAGCTGGACCACATCTGTGTACGCGACAGAATAAAGTCCTCCGACAAGAGTGTAAAAGATGGCAATCAGTGCGGAGATCACCACAGACATGTTGATGTTGATGTCCACAATCACACTGAGAGTGGCACCTGTGCAGAATCATCAGAGTTGGGTAAAACGTATATAATAAAGCCTGCTCTTAAATCTGTGAAACATCAGATTTAAGTAAGAATAGAAATAAGAAGGCGGTGATSCCAGGTGACGGTCGCCTACCTAAGGCAGACAAAATGGCTGCAGACCAGAAGATTTCTCCCATGAGTGCAGGGATGAASAGCAGCCCCCCCATCCTTTTCCCATAAAGCATCTGGAAGGGGTCCAACATGGTGACGTAGCCACGGGACCGCATGGGTTTGGCAAAGAAAAGGCCACCTGAGTGACGTCAGACATTTACATGGAACAGATGAGGAGCAGCTATTTGAAACTCCGTACATTGTCGTAATCAAGATTTTTGATTATTCGGTCAGTTTTTGAAATTTTTTTAGACTAGGAACCAACTAAAGAAAAAAGCAACACACTCCTGAGTGCTTTGGAAAAATTATACACAGCTGAAGCCCTCTGAATTCCTATAAAATTTTCTGCTGTTTAATAATAATAATAATAATAATAGTGTGCATCTGAACACAGAAAACAAGAGGTTCCTACCTACAACCAGGCTGAGAGCGTAACCAAAAGGCGCCTGTGCCCAGGCCAGGCCGTGGTCTGGCAGGTAGACATACTCTGCAGTTCCATTGATGTAGCCCCCACCCACCCAGGTGGCTGACAACAAAACAAGAGAAAGACAACGTTTAATATGTAAAACCTAAGGAATTTATTGCAGAAAGCGTGGCCGTATGTGGRTAAAAGACATACTGACAGAATTTAAGGTCTAAATAGACAAAATCCAGTTTTCCAACTCACCCGTCATGGTGAACCCTCCAACAAACAAGCCGATGTCTCTGCCCCCGACCATGATACTCTCGCTCCGCTCTCCGCCATCGCCRACTCCGGAGTTCTTGTTCTTCCACGCCGCCCAGATCCCCACAAACAGAATCAGGACATAGAAGAGCACGATGGCCACAAGACCCTCGACGTGGATCGTCATCCTTCCCTTCGTGTCGGCTTTCCGCCGGGATCAGGTGCTGCTGCTGTAGGTGGACTGGAAACTCATGGAGAAAACTGAAGAGAAACCAGAGAATTTCATCTATAAAGTCAGAAATAATAATAAAACAATTTAAACTTTTAAGCATTTGATTTAAGCCAAATTATTTCATTTAAAAGCAGCATATTTATATATACATTTTCTCAATTTAATGACAATCAATTTAATTATTTATTAATAATTTAATAAATATATAATCATGTTTTTCCAAACTTAAACGCTATTTTGTCAGTTCCAGACTCTATTTATCAACGTTTTCATTTAAAGTCAAAGAACAAATTCGCAGTTTTTCATACAATCTCATTAATAAAGGAAGGCGCACATMTTTTAACCACATATAAACATGGCTTGCACCCAGTTAAAATAAAAGACAATTAAAAAACAACAAAACAGAAAATTGCGCATTTTCTCCTCGTTGATATGAACTGAGAGGTCCAACTGACTCATACAGTTTGTGGATGAAGAGCAGTACTCTGTCATGTCCTAATCAAAGCCAGGAAAAAATAAAAGACACATTTTTTTGTCGAAATATTTACCTGCAATCTTCATCATCTCCAAGCTTTTACTTTGGCATTTTACGCATGCCTTGCCGCTTTCTCCCTGACAGTTTGGTGCCAATTTAACAGCAAATATCCACATAATTCTAAAAAGCCATTTATATATGTTGTTGTTTAAGATCTTTAAAATAGTTTGGGAAAATATTTGACTTATGCGCAAAAGTGCAATGTGGCTTTCCAAATAGTGCGCGCCGACAGAAACTGTCCAACTCGTCCAGAGGTTTCTGTCCGAGGTGTCGCGCGCATCAAAGAGCTACTTTTCGGCTTCTTGCTGACTCCGGAGCTCCGAGATGCCTGCGTTGCATTATTGATTTCACTATCAATAGACCACTGTGACAGGCTGTCACAGTGGTCTGATGAGGTTTCAGCGCGCCACGACTAAAAGAGAATCATCTAAAAAAAAAAAAAAAAAAAAAAGCTGGCACTTACCTTTCTTTTGAGGATAAACAGAGCAGAATCTTTTGAAAGAAAGAATAAAATACAGTCTCCTGGTAAAACGTGAATTTACTCGCCAATGTAATCCTCCTGAAAGAGCAAAAACACAATTCAACTCTGGTGATTTTGAACTGCTGGTCGGTCAGAGACGTAGAGAGGAGCGGCGCCAGTAAGAGGGAGGAGGGCGGAGGTGGGTGGAGATGAATGGGAGTGGTGGGTTTATTGGGTGCTGTCAGGGTGGGTATAGATGCTGGATAAATGTCTTCCAGGGCAGGACGAAAATAGCACCTAATAGAGAGTGGTATGACGCACAAGTTCCCCCCGAGAAGCTTTCCAACATCACATTGGCAGAGAACCTTTTTTTTTTCTTTTCCAGGTTACATTTCAGGCCTGATTTATGACGTTGCGCAGGTCTCCGCGTGCCCCCTGATGAACACACCGTCGTTTTTTAATCATACTATAGAGTAGGGTGTTGAAAATATTTGGCATGCAATCATTTTTACGCTTCATGGCGTCCAAGAGCATCACTCTCCCCCTGAAGTTTCTGGATTCATGCGTAAAAGTTGACGCAAGGAAGCAGCAGCACACCGTGCGTAAAGTTGCTTGGACAAACAGCAACAAAGTCATTTTGTTATTCTTTGTTTCACTTACTAACATATCGTTTACCTAAAACCTCATGGACTAATCTCTAACTGACAGGCACATTTTAATCAAATTTTAGGCACATTTTCAACCCCTCTAATGAAAATATGTTTGTTTTTCTGGAAACATTCAAGCAGATTCTATGAAAAATGTTCCAACAACAATAAAACTTCAAATAATTAAAAGTTACAGGTTTAGAGGTTGTATCAGTATATTAGAAAAAGACATTTATGAACAAAAGAAACATTTTACACACCAAAAAGAAGAAACGTGGTATGTTTGAGAGGAAGAAGAACATGGTTTCTTGTTTTTTTTTAAAGTTAAAACTAATTGTTGTTCTAAGAGTATTCAGATAAAAAAATGAACATCTTTAAACACAAATGTGTTTTTTTCTGAGATGTTTTCATTTGTGTAATAGGCAGGTCAAAATGCTAATTACTTTGGTAAAATTAAAATAAGACATTTTCAGTTTTGTTATGCCTTAAAAATTAGCACATTATTAATGTTCTAGGCTAGTTGAGCACCATTAATATTGAATTATCTTAAAAAGTATCAAATTTTCTATATTGTATTTTTTCTGTTCCTTAATGGCTTGCGGTGTTATTCTTCTCCTTTAGATGAAAAAGATTCACCTGACAGGTAGGAATAAATTAACTTGCATGAATGTCTGTCCTTTAATTTACTGTATCCCTGTGGCTGACAGTCTGTCAGATGGAGGGCACCTCTAATTGGAGGCTCTTCTACTAATATGCTGCAGAAACATTTTTACTGTGTTACAGGTAGCCAGGTAGACAGCCAGAGAGACAGTTGCAAGTAGTTAATATTCCAAAAGAAAATCTAAAAAAAAAAAAATCTTTGAACAAATAAAAAAGTAAGGAAATATTAGAAGACGTGGCCTAAATAAACAGTTTCAGCAGATCTTTGTTGCCATCTAGTTGGCTTCTTCAAGTATTTAAGTTTTCAGAAAATGAACCAGCAGGAAAAAAAACATTTGATAAAAACAAAATCAACCGAGGCCTAGCACATTTTAAAAGAATGCATGTCGCCCATCACCTATCATTAAGAGTTTTAAGCTAGATCCTTTTATGATGAGAGGGAACAAACTTAAACCCATTCTGATCAAACACTGAAGCACTCAAAACAAACTCTTCATTGAAGGAAGATGATTTAAAGACATAAACTTAAACTATTAATTTATTTAAAAAATGGACTTAAACGTCTTTCCTGAGAGTTAACAACAAAGCTACAACAAAAAAGTGACAGCACTCTTCTGTTAACGCGACTTTAGCAGCAGAAAACAGTATTTTTTTTTTTTTTTTCAGATTTAGTTTACAGTGATATGCTGCCACCTGCTGGCGATGTAAGTGCATTACAACAGTTTCAGTTCATTTCCTCACACATTCAGATTTYATTGCAGTTATGCCGAGTGGAGTTTAAATGTTCACCTCTGGTACTTTGGTTTCCTCTCACAGACCAAAACCATGCATATGTTAGGTTAATTAGTAACTCTAAACTGTATATAGATTTGGGTGAGAGTGTGAATGATTGCTTGTCTTATTTGCYTCTGGGGCCCTGTGATAAAGCTGCAACCTGTCCGAGGAGTCTTCTGTCTCAGACCCAGAAAATATAAGCGAGTAAAGAAAATGGTAAAGTGCTCAATGGACTGTTTAAGCTCATGAAAAGTCTGTTAATGTGTTAGTGTTTCTGCAGGTTTAAACATAGTTATTGAGTCTGTAGTCGCTGCTCGAAAGGGAGAAAAGCGATGGAGCATGATTGTCCTTCACGGCCTGGGGGCGCTCGTCCAGAGGAGCAGAGGCGTATGTGTTGTTAAGGACAGGAGGTGGTGATGGCGGACTCATCCTCAGATGGACGGGGTTCTGCCCCCTGTCCTCTCTGCTGCCCCAGCAGAGCACCAGCCCCCCTACCAGGCTGAGGCAGGCCGAGGCGTAGCCGAGATACACGGCCAGTCCGATCTCGTAACTCATCCCGATGGGAAAGAAGGGGTCATAAAAATCCATGACCACTTCGTTGGTGGTCCAGGACACGGTGATGAGGCAGAGGAGGCCGGCGCAGAGGAAACCCACCCCGCCGCTCAGCGCCAGGGCGGACTTGATGACAGAACCTCGTGCGTAGTGGGTGCACTTCATGCCCATCACAGCGACCAGAGAGGTCAGGACTGAGGTGAAGCAGGAAAGCACCATGAGAGCGCGGGCGGCCTAAAGAACAACAGAGTACAAACACTTTCATAATTCTGTTAAAAATACTAAAGATTATCAACTTTATTCTGGAGCCAAAAGAAAAACGACGATTGTTTAAGTTGTTGTCATTTATGATTCAAACTTGTGTTTCTTATTGAGGTGAGGTAAGCAGCTTCAGGTGACCTTTTCGCAGACTGATGCTGTACCTGCAGGTCAGGTGGGAGCGCCAGCTGCGATCTGTACAGCTCACACTGGTAGATACCCGTGCTGCTCCACATGCACTCCATCCACAGGCCCCTCATGACGGCGGTGGCTGTGATCATGTTGGAGCTGACCGAGGCCGTGATGCGCCAGTGGGGGAGCAGAGTCGCAAGTACGGTTCCTGCAAAACCCCACAGTCCGAAGAAGAAGCCGAGCAGCTGAAGGGCCATGTTGGCCATGGCCGGGCTCACTAAAGACAGAAGCTCAAACTGCAAAACAAGAAATACAATTTARTCAGAGGAAGAACATTTACATTTTGTAAGCTAATTTTTGATAATTCCATTATACTGTATGTAAAAAAACCCACAGAAATCAAGTAAAATCAATAAAACACTAACTGTTTGGGWAGCAGAAATATATCTGGATTACTCCCGTCGTCGTCTCCAGCAGTGCAGCGTATTCCAGCGAGCCCGCCTCCGGTCACGGAGCCTGAGCCATTCCTCAAGTGTCTCCTGAGCGTGGGCAGAAACAGAAGCGTTCAGAGCGGCGGCGGCGGTCTCTGGTGAGCGGCAGGTGACTGCATGTGTGACTAATGAGAGCAGCGTTMGGCTTCACCTGCTAAACGCTCTCCTCCGGAGGGCGAACCGCAGCAGGCGATTCGTTAAGCTCCTCGCCGCCCCTCAGGAAAGAAGAGAAAGAGGAAATTAAACGTTTACAGAAACCACCTGAGCTGACAGCACAGCTACAATCCACTAACTTTGAACTTTTTTGTTTCWTTTTTATGTTTTGGCAGCTATGGGGTGTTTTGAAGCGAGGCAATGATGGATGATAGGAACTTTTGACCCAAACTGCATCCAAAGGGGTCAACGTCTGTAATTTTCCAACTTCAGAAAGGAGAAAATGATGCACTCTGTTCTACATTTAAACCTACACGCAGAAATGTAAATTACACAAGTCATTAAACCACTAATCATTTCATTTARTTCCTTGTTGTCAATCGTTGAAAGGTGAAGAGAAAAGATGCTTTTCTTGTCTCGTTGTGTCTGTTCTAAAAATATCCCATGAACCCTTGCACAAACCTGAATTAAACTTGCAGAAAGTAATCATTGATTTTACATCTAACCGATTAACTTATGGACACAAACATGACTATAACCTATAATTCAACAGATAAAAWTAGGTTCTCAACATAAGATCTTAGTCTAAAACTGGCATGAAAGTCAGTGGGCGACATGTATTCCTTCGAGGAATGGTAGGCCTTTACTTTTAGACGTAGGCTATTTTTGGCACAAAAGAGCCCAAACTATTCTACAACCAAACTATTGTCTTGACTTCCTGAGAGAACAGAGGCTGTTTATTRAGCCCGGTTATTGTCCAGTGTTCAGACCTGGCACTGCTCGGGCCTCCGAACATTTCAGGGGATACAAGCCTCATTGTGCAAACTCAATGATTGACTGCAGCGAAGGGATGAGACGACACAATGAACAAAGCCGAATAAAGTTTTGACACTGATACTTTGGAAAAATCAAACGAATAAGAAATTTCTGCAGCTTGAAGCAGTCTGCAAAATTATATCGCTTCTTACATTCTGATTTTTTTGGTAACAGAAAATAACTAAATAAAAGGACACAAAAGGTTTTGCTAATACTCACCGGGGTTTGTTGTTACAGGTGTCCAGATAATTTAATTATCCTGGGAATCAGAATATGAGGAAGTTTCAAACAAACATAACCACTATTTCAGACTCTAATCTGACCAGCTCCTTCTCCTTTCTGTCTTTACAGAAAAAAAAAAAAAAAACTCTGTCAGCGTTGTGACAGGCCGGTTTTAGCCACCACCCTCCGGATGGTTGGGATTAGTCCCGTCAGTGTCAGCAGCATCTTGTAAGAGACGATATCAGAGACAGTCCTGCTGCCGGCTCGTTGCTCGGAACAGACAAACAGAACCGGGGTCATATGCAGCGCAGCGGGCCGAGCGGAGTTGTTAAACAGAACCYGACAGAGGAGATATTGTCCTCATTTTCTTGTGTGTTTTTACCTCTTGTAAAGCAACGCTACATCTCCAGATCTGTTCATAAAAAAGGGAAGACAAGAAAAAKGCATTTAAATTTAATTTAACCAGCAAACAGCTAATAATCAGCTTGTAGAAAATGTTTATTAGCCTTATTTAAAAGACAGTTTAAAGAGTAAAACAGTAAATCAGCTCTGTAAAGCCAACCTGCACCCGGTGCATACAGTGCTGAATGAGAAGTGATGCAGTTTCCTTCCTTTGAGGTCCAACTTCTTCCTGCAGCTCATTTCTCTTTCTTCGTCTGTATCCTCCTGAGTGTAGACCACCGTGACATCCTGTTGGTATACAAGACCATTTTCACAGCTCTTCTCCCCCGTATCCCTCGGTATTCAGCTCTCTGTGCGAGCTCTGTAGTGAAGGGATCATCCTCTCTAAGGACTGCCCTGAGGGAGACACTGTTTGAATGTGGAACACTTAATAGTCTTAGTTAAGCAGAATAATCCTGTGATTAGCAGCTGAGTGTTGTAGGTTTGCTGCACATGGTGCTGGAGGGTAGCACAACGGTGATAAAGTGTGTACAGGCCACCCTTTATGACTGTTTTAATTACCTCAGGAATATTTTCTGTGTTGAACGTCTTGTTGGAGTTTTATAGGAATATATGCAGATATCATGAGTAACGTGAAATGCAACATATAAAAGTCTCTGCATGCTCTTACGTGTGGGTACAACCGGTCCAAGCTACAGACGCGAACATACTGAGAGTTTTCTAATAAAAAAAATGTGTGCTACTTTTGCTTTAAGACATTTGCAATTAATAATAGTACAAAATGTAAAATATAGTCATTCAAAAATGGTCGTTTTTGCTCATCCTTGTCTTTTAAGCAGTGGCACAACCAGTGGGTGGGGGGCATGGCCTTCCTTAAAAACCTGTTTGCCGCCCCCAGCTATGTAAGATTAGTAGAATGTCATAAATCTAAAATCAAACATTGTTTTTCTTCAATTATACTTTAAAATAATATTTATTTAAAAAGCCATGATTATGATACTATTTAGATACCGAGTCATATATGTGAGATGCCAAATCTACAGAGYCTGTCTGGTGATGTTGAATAAACAAACAAAAAACAAACAAAAAAATGCATTACTACCTTGTAGCCTCAAGATGACATGTGGGCACTGGGCACACAAAATAGTAATGCGTGGCCACAAGATAATTGTGTCCCTTGCTAGGAATTACTACATGCTTAACCACAAGAGACTAAAGTATGTAATTGTAATTTATTCACTTTAAAATAGAATAAAAACGAATTCAAGCCTGTCCAAGTTAACAATTAACATTCTCTGCATGTCAATGACTGCTATAATATCTTGTGCACATGCATTATTAATATTTTTAATCCAACATCACCAAATGGACTCAGAACAAGTCAGATACAAGAGATGCAAAGTCATAATTTGAGGTACTGATTCATTTAAAAAAAATGTGTGTTTGAAACTATAAGTCACAATCACAAGACTCATTTAAAAACACTATTTTTAAGATGCAAAGTCATTATTATTAAATTAATAATAATTATTGTTGCATTATTAATTATTATTATTATTAAACTTAATAATAATGAGTCAGCATTCCTTAATTTTGATTTGCCATGTAAATTATGATACTAACCCCAACTCTTATTTACGACTTAGAGGAACTTTATTTTGTAAGAGTGGCGGAAGTGGACTTCCATACATATTTCCGCTCCTCGGAAAAGATAGGAAAAAAAAAGATATATATTTTGGCGCCACTGTTGACGAGTTTTTTAGACAGCTAGCTGACATTACCTCTCTTTTTGTCAACATTTTAAACAGTGAAGGTAAGCTATTACGAAGAGTCGGGCCCGTATTTCATTAAGTGTTTCACATGAATGTAGCAACATAAAGCTTAAAGCTAAACTACGTTTTTTTTTTTTTTGACAAAAGTATCCATCGTCCAAACTTTAGCTAAGCTAGCTACAATGTTAGCTGGTTCGTAACTCCAGCAGCAGAGTCGTCCATGTTTATTTGGGTAACTTCCTGAACTAATTTATAACTCGGAATTATTATTTTTTACTTCTTTTTTTTTAGTACATCTAGCTGAGCTAACCAGTGATGGCAATGGTCAAAACGTCATGGACATGTAAATCAAAGTGTTTGAAGAAAACTCACCAGCAGCGGCCTTGGCCCGTCAGAACCATTCTGACCCGCAGCCAGCGCACCTCAGTCCTGGGCTTCTTCAGCAGGCTCCCCGCTGAGGTGTTCCACATGATCCTGGATCAACTGTCTGGTTGGTTACTGAGCTTAAAATATAATATTTTTAGCTTTATATCCCTTTTTTATAAAACATGTTTATTATTTGTATAAATATTCCTGAAGATCTGAACATTTTACAAGTAATTTTGTTAAATGCAGTGAATGAAAGGTAATTTTCAATGTCTTATGAGAGAAAAAAAAGTCATTTTTTATTTTCTCTATCTTTAAGGTGCCATCTCACTTAGTTATGTCCATCAAAATACTAGTTGGTGAAAAGAATCCCTCAAAATTTTGGTGAAATTGCGAGACAAACTGGGACTTTTCTGTTTTTTTGAACATCATGGCCTATTTTTGTGTTTGTGGCTTGCAAATCTGAATGAACGTGATCAGGTTTCATCTCGGAGGAATCATGTTTACGATGAAATTTCTTAATAGGTGACCTTTTGGGCTTACAGTAGTTCTTCACCACGGTTTCCTCTTGTTTTTACTTAATGTGTGTTACAAACCACTCTGGTGTAATTACATAAATCTCTTTTGCTCTACAGTTATTTATGTAACTCTGTTGGTTTTCTGCTAAATGCATGCATCAAATCTCACTGAAATGTGGGCAAACTGCACAGAGATATGCTCAGTCCATTGGTGCATCTGGACTTTTTTTTATTATTATTATTTTTATTTTTAGTGTTGGACATCAGCGTGTTCTGCATGGTATCAAAGGAAATCACCAGACATGTCATGGACTACATCTCCTCCCTGTCTTGGAAGAACAAAACCATCATCCAAAGCTTTCACTTCCCCGTACATCTTGAACAAAGTTCCACTGCTGAGCACTACAGACACCTGGGTACATCCGTCTGATTTTTTATTTTTATTTGTAAAGCTCTTTTCACTGTTCTGTTGCTCTTTTATTTTGGTTATGGTTAATCATACTGCTCTCTGCAATCAGTGCTTTTTGTGTTTGATGTCTCAGGTTTGTTGTTCAAGAGGTGTACACTGTTGCTACCCACAAAAGAAAGGCTAAAGTTCAGTTTTAGCAAGTTTTCAGAGGTAAGGAAGGCAAAGGGGACCACTTAGGAACAGAATGTTGTCATGGAAGTGTTTAGTGTCTTTATTTTAGTTAGGCCAAAGGACATATGTGAGTTTAGAACTGAAAAGCAACAGGTGTCATTAACTTATTGGTTAAACCCTCAAACAGAAAACTCAAAGTAAAATCTGTATTTGTGACAGATTCCCTGCTTCATGATGGAGGAATGCTCTGTCTCAAGCTGCGTCGGTTTCTCCAGGCTTGGTGTCTTCCTTGAGGTGAGACCTTCAAGCTGCAGCTGCATCTCATAGCGACACTCACTCACACCAACATAAATAATATCTCCATGTTGAAGCTGTGAATAGATTAGTTTGACTACGGATTTGTCTTTTCTTTTACCATTTTATTTTGAACTGTAACTTGGAAAAATAATTTGGCATTCGCATAAAGGGGTTGTTATGTTGATTTATTTCACAGACTCTGATCGCAGGCTGGGATGAGCTGGAGTGTCAGAGAGTGTTCAACTTTTTGTGCGAGCTCACAAACCTGATGCAGAAGGCCGAGGCAGTACTGAAAACAATACCAGGTGCCTGTTTGGATTCACGTCTAGGATCAAACTGATTATTCTGTCTAGTCTTTAATATTTGCAGAGCTTTTATGTCTCATTATCAACGCAGAAAATGTAAATTTAAAGCATGAAAGTGAAAATAAAGCTACTAGCAGAACATGTAAGTCATGTAAGAGTATGGGATGRAAGTCCTAATTTGGAAGCTCAGTTGAGTCTTAAGTGACTGAGAAAACATGTAAATATGTTTGTCCTCAGGGGTGAGAGTGTATCAGGAGCTGCAGCTTCGTCTCTTCTGCCGTCATGTTCTGTTGGACCCGTGGCGGAACCAGCCGGATTGTCAGTTCTGGCTCGTTCATCTCTTAAAGCCCTGGCCCATCGTCAGTCAAGCTCAGCTTCTGCTGGTCCTTTATGGACCTCTGCTGCCTGACGGTGAAATAGCTTGTATGGTGTTGGCATTTTTAGGACATAGGAAATTATCTGTATGTAGTGCTGGAGCTTACGTAGTATTCACATCGTTTCTGTTTCCGATTAAAGGATGAAAATTAAAAAGGTTGGTGATGGATTCTTCTGTGCAGGTTTCATCGGCTGGCAGAATCTGGTTGAGTCGGTTCTACCACATGCGACTTTGTGGAACTTGGCCAAAGGAATCCTCACGCTTTTCGGCAAACTAGAAGTCAAAGGCTGGACTGCAGAGTCGTTGCTGTCAATCTTAGAGGAGATAACAGGTAGATTTTAGGGATGGGAAATAGTCCCTGTTTTCAGATCATAAATCATGGTCACTGGCTGTCGCCGATAGACGATCCAATCGGCTGATAAGGCATGCAAAGTTACGTTGTTAAAAAAAAAAAAGCAAGTAGGTCCGCTGATTATAAGTGATGGCTTCTTTTTTCTGAAGACCCCCGCTGCTGCATACTTCATTACAGGGGATTTCTACCCGGAGGGAATCCAATGCGGAAAAAAAATAGTCAGACACTCGTCACTCGACATTGTTTATCCACAAACTGGTCCAGGATTAAGCTCAAAGGTTTTTATCAGTCAGATTTCACCGTGAAAATAGTCTATTTTATCCCCTTTTATGAGGCTTTGGCTGTTTAACTCTCTTTATAATCGCTGCTTCCTGGTAGTCRGTGTTCAAACAAGTCACTTTTTTCTCTTTTTTTTAAGCGAGTGGTTGAAGCAAACGCAGCGTCTGAGTGCTTTTAGCACAAACAAACACTCCCACAAACTTCTGACCAATCAAACCACCGGTTCRTATGTGTTCTTATGTGGAGGGGGGTGAAAAGTTCCACCCACACACACCAGAGCCCAGAGTGACGGGGATGAGCAGGGGTGAGGGACTGCGTTCCGGTTCGGTTTGGAACTGGTTAAAGTTATTTGTTCAAATGTATGCTTGTCATGGATTATTCGTTTTGTAACTAA